TCTAAGTTCAGTAATGTTGCAATTTTTAGGTTGTTTGTTAGCAGGAATAGGATGAGATGAAGTTGGTGCATCCTCATAGATACCAATACCAAAGCTTTTAGGACACTTCTGGTAAAAATAGTCAAGGTCAATGGTGTCCAGTGCAGTTGTTATAGGAATTGGCATTTTGTTCTAAAAATAGATATTTAGATATGTTTTTTGAAAAAATTTGTTCTGTTTAAGGGTTTTTAGACTAGTTAGGAAAGTTTGAAAAAGAGTTTAGGTTACAGATAAGCTAATTGGGTGTTTAGGAAATTCTAATGAGTCTTGGAAAAGTAAAATTTCTGGGACAACTCAGCAAGTTTTCCTAAAATTGCCAATGAAAAAACCTGCAAAGAGAAAGTTTTTGGTTTTGCTTTTCACTTGTATCTCTATGAGTTTTGGTCTGGCTTTAATGAATTATATATCAAAATGTCCACCTCAGTGAGCTGAACAACTTTTAATTAGTAAAATTATGTGTAAATAGACAAAAACCAAAAACTTGGATTTTGGAACTTTTTTCAACAGCTAGGTTTTATTGAAAGATAAAACACAGCTGCCTAGAAGGAAAAAAGTGTGCTGGACAACTTTATTTAAGGGGTCAAATAAGGTTTACTTAATAGAATTATGAGAAATAATCAAATGTTTTTTTGTAGTTTTGGTATAAGTGATCTACAGAGAGAGTTGCTTTAATTTTGTATATATTTGTTATACTTTATATAAGTTGATAATAATTAATTTATTTTATATAATCTTATATTTATTAAAATTAATATTTTTTAAACTGCTAATGTGCAAATTTAAATACTAAAATGTTTTTTAACTTATTATTGTCTAATTACTTTATTTTTCTAATAGTATTTTAAAAAATAGTTTTTTAATATAAGTTGTAATAAGATTTTGATATTTAAATTTAGTATTAAAAAAATATTTTGCATATAATACCCATAATATTTTTTACAATTATTATGTACAGATATATTTTATAATATAATACTAAAATTGATTAAAGATTTTCTATAATCAAAAATATAAGATAATTCAAAAAATAAAAGTAAAATAAATTTTTTAGTTATCATATTTATTTATACTTCTGTTTAGATCATATGAAATTATTAATGCTATAATTAGAATATACTATATAACTTGGGTTTTTGAAAATTATTATCTAATTAATTTAAAATTTTATTAAAAATTTTTTTTAAATCAAATTTTTATTCAAAATTTTAATATACAAATTTGTATAATAAATATGATGATTTAAGAAATAGTTTGTTAAAAATTGTATCTGATGCAAAAATATAATTGAAAATCTATAATAGGTTCTCTTGACAGTACTAACTTATATTAAATATGATACTTAAAAGTTTTTTCTGTATAGCATTTATATTTTATATTTAATTTATTTAATTGCAATTATTTTAAATAAGATGGAATATCTTTACAATATTTGTAATAAATGAATAAACTAAAAGATCTTTAGTTATTAAATTCATTGTTTCAATACCTTTGCTAGTTTTTTTTTTTTTTTTTTTTTAAACTAGCTTCTTTTGGAGCTAGGGTTTTTTATTTAGTAGTTAGAATATAGGAACTAACAACTGAGACCTTAAAGAAGTCTTCTTATATTAGAGAATACAACTAGTTATACATATACTTTTGATGCTAATTAAGTAGTCTACTGATAGTTCTACACTAACTGTTATACCTGTAATCCAACTAAGGATGTTGCCTATTTAAATCCTCTATACTGCAATTCTTACTGTATTACTAGATCATCTTCTTTACATAAGTCAGTTAAGAATGTCTAGATGCTTATCTATATCCTTAAGACCTTATACCTTATTTCATATAATGTATCTTTAGAAGCATCATTATTAGAGCATTCTGTATTATATATACAGCTAATCTAGTTTTATATAACATGTTATAGTTACCTAACACTTGCAGTTAGGACTAACCTTAAACTGCTATATTATACTATTTTTATTCTTATAAAATTTACCCAAACCTTAGTACCTATTCTTCTAACATCTTCTCTATCATCTTTTATTAACTGCAACTCAAAACTAACAGACTCTCTAGATTTTTAATTTAGATGACCCAGTATAATATACCTTAGTATCCTTTTTCTCTAGTGATTCTGACAGCCTGGTTGATCATATGCTTCTCTACACATCTTGTCATCTGATTTATTTGTCTGTTTCTATAAAGGTGCTTTATAAGTTTCTATCAGTCTGACAGTATCATTAAAAGTTTGTGTTAGCTCTTTATTTATAAATTTCTAAGTAGGATTCTGTCTTCTTGGTTTCTTAGTTTCTGTGTCTAATGATCTTATTATGGGTTTGTATTGAAGTTTTATGTAATACCAGTTATTAACATTCCTTTATGTATATATATTGTGTAACATTACACTTTCATAAATATCCTGAACTTCTAATTATAAGTAGAACCCAACTTGGTGTATCTGAATTACAACTGTATAAGGCCAACTGATTGACAGGAGATAGTTTTCATAACACAGGTTAATTTCTAAATTTCATTGTAAATGGGATTTGAACCTTAGACCTGCCACTTGGAGGATGACAACCCAACCACTACACTAGGATCACCATCCTCTGCTAGTTTTCTTTTTGACTTATATTTTGTAATAATCATAAATAAAATATTATTCTAATTTTGTTAATTCTAATTCTTAACATGGTTTGACAAAACTTAATAAAATCTTGGTTGTTTTAGAATAATAATTTGTGTTATATATTTTTTTTAAACCAAAGATCGATTCTTGTTCATATTGAACTTTTTTATTAGTGTCTGTTCATGTAATGTGTTTACTATATTTTTTTGTCAAGAACGGTTGGTTGGCAAGAACAATACACCAAGCATAACCAAGCATACTGGACATACATTCAAACGAAAACTTAATTTTTAATGCTTTACATTGTAGTATCATTCAAAATACAATTACGAAAAATATCGATATATATAATTATCGTTATATTACTAACGCCAATTACACTCAAATCAAAAAGTTTATCACTGTCGAAATCAAAAAATTATCAAATCGACAAATAATCATTCTGTCAATTTTTTTACCAAAAATAATGACATCAGCTGTAATGAATTAGAAACTTATAGATTCTGTCCTCGGAAAATTTTTTCTTTTTTTAGTCAATGAAACCATTCTATAAGATATGGACCGGTCTGGACCCAGTCCTCAGAAAACCAGTTGGACTGGTCCAAAAGACCGGTTCGGACCACGGTCTTTGTAGGACCTAGTCTAAAAACCAAGCTTAATCTATAAAAAAAAGAAAAAAATCGTTGTTTCTGTTAAAAACCGGCTATTCGGTAGCTTAAAATTTTAAAAAGGCTTTTTACCTAGTTCAATACTTCGCTTTTAAGCCGACTTAAATTAGATATTATTAGAGATATTTTTAAAGGTAATTTTCTAGCACCTCTTCGAAGCAAATACGATGTTTGCTAAGAATGGTTACTTGTGTAATGTTGCGTTCTCAAAAAGTACTTTAAAACATATAAATAAGTTACCTGGGTAATTGATTTACATTATTCAGACGAATTTCTGCCTATAACGCTGGACCAGCTGAACCGCTAGCAAATACTATTCATATAAGCCTACACCCTAACCCTAACCCTAAAGCTCTGAGAACACCTAAATTCCGTTCCTATTTACAATATAATATACAGTAATAAATTTTGTAATTAAGCTATATTGCGTCACCGTGCAAGTTATTTATAATTTAAACCGGTAGATCGTTACACTATAAAAGTATATTTTTATAACAATTCCATTTAAATATCATTCGTAATTCATTTTATTGTTAAATATTGCAATTTAATTTAAACATCAGGATAAAAAGTTACATCAAACAAGTTTTTAATATCAAGCGTAGTTATGCCGTAGCTGTGAAATGAATATCCCACCATCGCTATTATGATTTATCCTTCTAGTTAGCGGACTGCGAATTCCACAAGTAAGGTTTACGATTGTGTAACAGTGTTAATCATACGCATACATTGATGTCTGATGTATCAAATATTCTATGTGAAGGAGAATTCTTAGAAGAGTTGTTTTGGATCAAATTGCTATATCTAGTATGTATAATATACATACGTTGAGCAAATTTCTTCTAACTTCATATACTGTAATTAACATTGAATGTATTCACTCATAAGATTTTGACTATAAAGCTTCTAAATTAATGTGAAATATTACGTAATTTGCATGTGAACTAATAAACATCACACAGTTTATCTTAAACTACGCCACACCGAACATGAGAACTATAGAAAATTCTTTCGCACCTACGGACATATACATGTAAGAGTTCTAGAACTTACAATGCATTATCTAATGTTTATTGTTGCGGATCTGGTCCCAAACCGGCATTGTTTACAAATAAGGAAGTTATCTTGCCGAGCTTTTTTTAAATGTCTATCGCTATATAAATAATGCGAATAATGAATCAAATTTGTGATTTACATTCTGCAATTTTGATAATTTATTAAAAGCATTTCGTTGATAAACTTAAATAAGATCTCAAAAACCTTTTCGCTAAATAAAAAAAACAAACCAAAACAAAAAATCATTATTTTGTCGAAACCATTTTTCATTTGACCCAATTTAACTCAATTTCAATTTAATTCGATTATACATAAAGGCACCTTTTTATTAATATTTCCAATTTAAGTTATTTCGATCGACTTTTTTTTTTGGTATCGTGTGTCATGTCAAACGACATAAAAAATAAAATTGCTTTAAGACCAAAGGAACCGGCTATCAGAGGAAAACCGGTTGAAGTTATTGTTAATTATGTAGCAATAACAAAAAGTGTAAGCACACATCATATATAATTTATGCTTCAACATAACTTATTAAATGATATCTGACACTATAAGTATTCCTCGATTTAGTTCAAATATCCTACTGTTCACTCTTATACCTTAGACGTTAAACCTCAACAAGGAAAAAAAGCAAAAAGAGAAGAAGCTGAAGCTGTTTTTTATCAATTACTTAATAATAAAGAGTTTGGCCAAGATGTTTCTCCAGTATATGATGGTAGCATGATATACTCTTTTAATAAACTTTGCAATGGCAAAGATTATAAAACATTTTCTCGGGTAATTATTAGACATTAGTTGTTGCGTTTTTGCTTTATTTGCTCTCTTATATTTTGGTTCTGTTGTGCCTAATAAATAAATTTATTATAGATTAATATTCCTCTACCAGACGGTGCTGGTCGTGCAAAAAGTTTTTCTGCCGTACTTAAATATAATAACAGATGTGAAACTTATCAGATGGCTGAATATGTCAAAATGAACTCAAACCAACGTTGGGGAGATGATATTCAGAATAGTCTTCGTATTCTTAATGCTTTTATTAATTCGGATGTTAGAGCACAATATCTTACACATGGAAGAAAACAAATTTTTCCAAAACCTGACTCTGGAAAGCGGTTATTTTTGCCAGGTGGAATCGAACTAATGCCTGGTTTCTTTCAAAGTATTCGTCCTGGATGGGGTATTATTATATATTTTTTTCATTATATTTTTTTTTTCTAAAAAAAATAATTTATTTAATAAAATATATATATATATTTTAATATAGAAAAACTTCTTATTAATATTGATATATGTGCTACAACATTTTATCCATCTGGTCCATTGATCGATTTGATCCCTAAAATCCTTAGAAATATAAGATCTAAAGATCAATTACGACGAGGGCTTTCTTCCGATGAAATTGTATCTCTTGAAAATTTTCTTAAAGACCTTAGTTTCACAACAACATATCGTTCTGCCCACAACTCAAAACCAAAAAAGAAAGTTTCTTATATTACTAAAAAACCTGCACAAAATCTTATGTTTAATTATGAAGGAAAAAATATTAGTGTTAGTCAATATTTTCGTGATTCAGAAACGCCATTAGAATTTCCTTTGCTTCCATGTGTCGCCGTCAAGGCAACTAAACGTGGACAAAGTGATGCTTATTATCCTTTAGAAATTTGTTATTTGATATCAGGCAAGTTACTTATTTTATGAATCTATCTATATGTTGAGAATTTTATATTATATGCTATCCACTATAAAATATACCTAATATAATTGAAAAATGGTTAGGCCAAAAATATAAAGTTAAACTTGAATTGGATCAAAGAAAAGATATGATCAAAAAGACTGCTATTGGTCCATCTGATCGATTCGAAAGAATCACTGGTGCTCGTCTAGATATATACAAACACTCAGAAAATGATGCGATGAAATCAATTGGAATGGATGTTGGAAAGGATTATTTAACAACTACATGTAAATATTTTATAATTTTCCTTTTGAATTATATCACAAATAATTTTCTATATTCTACTTGCTTATTTGAATTAAATTTTTAGCAAGAGTTCTTGAACCACCGCCGCTTACTTGCACTCTTGATAATAAAGAAATTATCCCTGAGTCAGGTTCATGGAGTGTTCCTAAATTTATTACGGTAAATATTTATAATTGCAATTATTAATATATCTTAAATTATAATTTATATTATATTCATATATAAATATATATATATATTTATTTTTTTCTATGCATTAGCCGGCAACATTACATAGTTGGTCCGTTGTTTGTTTTGATGTGAACTTAAAGAAAGAACATGTTGAACCTGCGATTAAATGTTTAATAGAATCATTAGTTGAAAAGGGATTGGTATGCATATCATTAATATCATCAATAATATTTTAATAATATTAATAAACTATTCACATGATTTTTTTTAAACATTATTTTTCATTCTTAGAGAGTCAACCGACCTCAGAAAATTATGCAGGGAAATCCTCAAAATTGCAAAGCTGTAAATATTATTACTTTTTAAATTTTAATTGTCATATTATTTTATCAACATTACTTTTTGCCTTTTGTAGGCTCTTACTTCTGCCGCAGTAGGCGCAGACTCAAAAAAGAGTCCACAGCTCATTGTTTGTATTCTTGCGAACAAAATAAATGGTATTTCTGGTCTTTATGCTGAAATAAAGAAGATCTGCATAACTGAATTGGGTGTTCATTCTCAGTGTTTTCAAAGTAAGGAGATTGGTGAATCTCAATGGAGGTCAATTTGTTATAATGCCTCTTTGAAAATAAATGGAAAACTTGGTGGAACAAATTCTCGATTAATTCCAAAACAACTTGATTTTAAAGGTGCGAAACCAGTATGTATCTTTTAATTGTATACATGCTATTTACAACCATCGTGGCTGATATTGAGATTGACTGATACTGAAATTTGTGGTCTCCATTTGAATTTACTAACCTTACGTCAAATTTGTACAAATTGACAGTCAAGTTTGTACATAACATTTTTAATTAAATTGCAAGATCTCGTATCTGGTGATCTAAATCATGTAATTTTGGTACCATTCGATTCATCTATTGGACGAATTTAATGATACTAAAGTTACATTATTTATGTCACTAGATCACGAGATATTGCGATTTAATTAAAGTGTCATGTATGAATTTGACTGTCAGTTTGTACAAACTTGGTATGCAAAACCTGTACTAAAATCCCACTATAATCTTATTAGCAACTCTAACCATGAATTCTTAAAACGTGCTGTTATCAGCTGATCTTAATTTCAGTCACGACGTTTACTTTAAATGAAAATTAACCAGAAAATTTTTAATACACCTTTTAATTAAAGTATATGATTATCGGCGCAGATGTGTTCCATCCTAGTATTGAAGATAAAAAAAAAGGCCGCCCAAGTGTTGCAGGCTTAGTTGCGTCCATGGATCAATTTGCAACAAAGTATATTGGACGATATAGTATGAACGAAAAGTTAAAAAATGAAGTAATCGAAGGAATTGGTAGCATATTCATAGATTTTGTTAAAGTATTTTTTGAGAAAACAAATAATAAGTACTTCCCAGAAGCAATCTTATTTTATCGGGATGGTGTTGCTGAAGGACAGTTTGAGATTATTATGGAAGATGAAGTTAGTAAGATACTAGATGAGCTTAAAATTTTCTATGAATCCCATGGACGTAAACCTCCAAAATTGACAGTTATAATTATGCAAAAGCGGCATCATACTAGGTATGCTATTATAATGTTAATATATATTAATATTCATTTATTAAACATTTCATCTTTATAACGTTATGTTTAGAGCTAAACCAAAGGATGATTCCAATGTTGATCCTAAAGGTAATGGAAACTGTCAACCCGGAACTGTTATAGATAAAGATATTGTCGTCCCACAATATTTTACTTTTTGTAAGTATTTGTTTTATTATTTTCTTTTCACCATTAAATATCCATCTTTTTTAAATGATTTTGTACATATATTTTTTTTGTAGATTTGCAATCTCATTCTAGTCCACTTGGGACAGCTAGATCTGCGTATTACCATGTTATCTATGATGAAATAGGGTTTTCTCAGGATGAAATGGAAACTCTTACCTACAAATTATGTTTCTCATCTGTAAGGTACTTGTTGCAACTAAAAAAATTTAATAATAAATTAATTGTCTTTGGCAATTATAAAGTTGATTAAACTATTTTTTGTTTTATTTAAAGGTGTAATCTTTCTTTGTCAATGGTAACACCATTACACTACGCTCATAATCTTGCAAATCTGGCAAAAAATTTGGTTACGTATGAGGAATTCCCTCCTAAACCTGTAGGCCGTCGTTCTGCTCCACCAACACCTGCGCCAGAATTTGTCAAAAATGGAAAGCAATATTATGCTCATAATAACATCAAGAACACATTATATTTTGCTTAAATCGAAGTTCCAGAATTCTGTTTTTTTAAAGAACTTTCTTTTTTATCGTGTGCACAATTTGTTATTATTTCAAGAACATTTTATATCCAAGGTACTATATTTCAAAAAATTGAGGGGTCAGTGTATAAATATGATTTTTTCTATATAAAGTATATCAATTAGTTATCTTTACCAATTTAACATTTTTATATATTATATTATAAACTGAAAATTTCTTAACATACAATATTATATGCTGAAGAAACTGGTGAACCTTTGATGAATAGTGATGAATGGTAATTAAACTGGTAAAATTTAATACAACAGCCAATCAGATTTTAGATAGTAACTAATTTTACTAGCAATTTTAGTATTACATGTTAATAATTTGTAAATTTTTATAAAACAAAAATTAAAAAAAAAACTAATTAATTTGGTTGATTGAAGTTAGGATTTAAAGTTTAGAATGTTATAAATTATCGCTATGCCGTTATAACGCTATACCCTTATATATATAATACCATAAAAAAACTGTTAATTAAAAATTATATATACACATATTAATCGTATTCACGTTGCACCTGATCTGAATTTTAATTGCGCGTTTAATATAATAAGCATCCATCGCGTCATTAAAGATTACATAATTATAACAAAAGATTGAAACTAAATTAACTGTATTGAAGGAAAAAAATTATGTAATTTATACTACTAACGTTTTAGCACGTTTTTTCTTTTAGGACGTTCTTATAGCACATTCATTTTTTTTGTTGCTTTTTTTGTAAATTTACTTGTATTAAGAAATGGATTAAACTAAATCAGATAAATTTACTGCAAAAACTGAAACTATGAGTTTATACGTAGGAAAAACTTTTCAGAGTTTGGAATTGTGCGAGACTTTTTTGTCTGAATGAGTCAAAAAATAAGGTTTTCAAATTATTAAATATCATATATATCTTGAAGAGGTTATTATTAAAGTATGGCGTCATAACTAGCTAATTATTACAATTATATTTATTACATATATTTTTACAAAGGTTTTTTAAAACTTTAATTGTAATAATATTTATTACATATTATTACATGTAATAATATATATATATATTTTTATAGTTAAAGTCCTTATATTGGGGATGTGATATTTTATTCAAGTTTCATTAGGAAACGGGTGCCTCCAAGGGCTTCCTTACATTGGAGGTTATAACTAGTCACACGTGCACTTTTGGGCCTAATTTAAGTAGTCTACTTGCACATTGTTATATAAGTTCTACACTAGTTGCCATACCTGCAAGTTAACTAAAGGTCTTGCTTATTTAAACCCTCTGCATATGTAATCCTCCTTGTATTACAAGAACATCTCAAGGTTACATCAATCCAAGTTCCCAATATTTATTGTTACCCTTAGGATTATTTTATCCTTGATAGGAAACTTATTAGAGTTTTTATGTCTCACATATATAGACCTAGTTTTATGTAATATGTTATAGTTACTTAATACTTGCAGTCACAGGAGTTACCTGTTTAACTGTTATGTTATACTATTTCTATCCTTATAAAGTTCACTAGAACCCCAATACCTATCTTCTCAGTATCTTCTCCATTATCCCTTACTAGTCACAATTCAGAACCAACAGTCTCATTCCAGACTACCAATTCAGATAGTCCAGTATAGTTTATTTATGTATCTTTTTCCTTTAATGAATTCAGCACATTGGTTAGTTATATGCTCCTTTATACATATTTGACATCCAGTTTTAATCTTTAGCTTCTATGAAGGTGTTTTATAACTTCAACCAGTCTGATGATACTGTCAAAAGTTCATACTACCTCTTTACTTGAGAATTTCCAAGTAGGTTTCTGTTATCTCAGTTCCTTAGTCTTCTATGCATGATGGTCTTACTGTAGGTTTGCATCAAAGTCTTATGCAATACCAGTAAACATTTTTCTATGTACATATAATGTTATACTTCACATAGATGTCTGAGCTTTCAATATCAGGGGAACCTGACTTGATATATCTGGATAACAGCCACATGAGGCCAACTGATCAACAGGAGACAGTTACTATAACACAGATATAATTTTCAAATTTCATCATAGATGAGATTTGAATCTTAGACCTGCCACTTGGAAGATGACAACCCAACTACTATACTAGGATTGCTATCCTCTACATGTAATAATATTAATTATATGTAATAATTATTATTATATATAATAATTATTATTACATATAATAATAGATCAACTCTTTCCATCAATTATTTACACAAAATTTAACCTAAATTTCACTCATATAAAACTACTAATATTTTAAAATTTATTATGTAAACAAACTCTGGTGTCTTAAACAAAGTTGTTTGCAATAAAATTTTATATATATTACTAAAATCTTACATTATTATCTCTTAAACTCATTACAAAAAACAAAAAAATATTTTTTAATTATAATTAACTAAACTTTTAATTATTTCTAAAAAACTACCTTTACAACTCACTCTACACTTCTAATAAAAATTATTTAACATATTTTTCTGATCAAAACAAAGTTTAAACAAAACCTATAACCCTAATATTGACTAAATTATACTCTAAAATAACTTTTATTCTCTTTCTTTATTATAAAATTTTATTTCTTTTTTATTCCTTTCTATTTTGCCTCAAAAATTCTCACTAGGATGTTTTTTGTATAACATCATATCATTTCCTAAATTGATTTAATTAAATCTACATAGTACAAGTCACAAAATATCCAAATAATCTAAGTTCTACAATCAATTTAGTACAAACAAATTATTTATTAATTAGTAAATAGCTATATTACACCAATTACAAATTACTATATATCCTTATCTTATAGTATTCTAAATTATTTTTAACTAAAATATATCTAAAAATATCAAATTTTGAATGTTTTTAACATAAATTTTATTATTTATTAACTAAATTTATTGTAACAATCTTATTCTATATTTTACTTTATTATATTCTATATTTATCTATATATTTACAAATTTATTTACCAATTAACACATATCATTCCAAATATCTTTTTGTTATCACAATACCTAACAATCACATTCTTTATCACACTATCTCTATCACATCCTCTTTATCACTTCTCTCATATATCACTTCATTCTAATTCAATACCAATATATTCTTTCTTTATTCTTACAAATCAGCAAACATAATCTGCTAATATCTCAATATTTTACTAAATATATTGTACTTGGCATTCTAATTAAACTTGTTCCTGATATCAAACTATATATATTTTTGGAGTTTCAAGCAGATAGCTTTAAAACTCGCTGAGAAAATCAAAAAAATAAGTCTCATGACCATAAATAATTCAAAATTTTATTTTATACAAAATCTACAATATCTTTATATTTTATTAAGAAAACCTCTTCTGACATCTTAATTAAATTTATTCTTTAAAAAAATTATATATATCCTGAAAATATTAAATTTAATTCATCTATTTTGACGAAATAAAATTAATAAACATCCAAGAAATATCATGTCTTAACGAAGGTTTCCTTATCATTCAATTATACAAGTCAATACCAATACTACTGAAAATTTATTTAAATCATTTTAAGCTTATCCTATTAATACACAAAATCAAGACCAAATACAATTTTTTACATCATTTAGTTTACAAGTTCTTGACTTTATTAAACCATTTCTTCAAAATTTCTATCCAGGTCGAATTCAAAAAAATGAAA